GTTCTTCAGTCCATTTCATTGATTGACTGAAAGTGCAGTGCAACAAAAATTACTTCATGAGGAAGAACTATCAGTATATCAGCAAAATTTGCTAACAATAAAATTATCATTGTATCTGAGATTTACTAGCACTTGGTCCTAATCATGATCAAAATTTTTAAAACAAATAACATAACTTGCTTTGGGTGGTATTAACTAGATCATCATAATATTAGACAATATCTTTGTTTTCTTTAGTCCTCCAATAAATTAGCTGAACTTGTTGACAGATAAAGAAATGATCATGAGAATACATGATGGTTATCCTTTGCCTTCCGAATGAGGGAAACATATACAATTAAGGTTGGAAGGACGCTTTCAAATGAAAAAAAGTCATGAATTACTAAAAAAATGTGTAGCATTTGGAGCAAAATATTGGGCAATCAATAAAGTTTGGATTTTGTAAAATAATTCTTATTTAATTAGGAAACAGTGGAAATTATGTGAACGTCTCTTTTTTGTATTTGTTTTTGATTCAGTTATAAATATAGCAATAATATTTGCGGTAGTCGGAATTCGTCGATATAACTGTTCAACCCAGCCAGTGAGTTCCTTGTAAAATAAGGTTAATCTACGATTATAAATGAAAATTAGCTCAATGAAAGTATTTATACACTTTGCATCGGTCGAATCTAGTACCGCTGCCGACAAAATCTCTCTACTATTTCCTAGTAAACCCAAAATAAAATTAAGCTTCATTGTTCTCTTTTTTTGATCGAGAAAAAAGTTGGAAAGTAAGTGATAAGAAAGCTCAGTGATAGCGAGTGAAGTACAATCACAAACAAATACAAAGCAAAACAAGTCAAATCTCTCTCCATTCAGTTCGTGGTCGTATACAAAAGACTCCACGCTCTGTTCGTTTTGGACATTTCATACAAACTAGTATTCTTTAAATTTAGTCGCAAAGTCTCGTTTTTACCTTGATTCCTTTGCCATAGTTGGGTTTTAATTTCCACGTTTTCGCACAACGTCAAACAAGGCTTCTAGACGTCCGCGCGTGAAGGGACACCGCCGTCTCAGAAATCTACTCATGCGCAGTACGTAACCGGAAGTAAAAAAGTCCCACGTCGCCGTCGCCGTTGTCGGATCGTAAGGTCCCTATTATGTGCCTATGAAATGTCCCCGGGGTGGGGGCATTTGATCACCTGAATGGATCCTTGTGCGGGGCATTTGAACGGCATTTTGGCCCGGGTAGGGGGGAATTTGAACAATAATTTTCAAAAAAGTCAAATGCCCGGGGGGTTGCCCGGGGGGGGCATGTTGAAGCTTCGATTTGACCGATACATTAGCATACAGCAATTTGAATATATTTTCATTTTAACTGAAATGCGATAGGTCGAGCTTTGTTCGTCAGTCAAATAGAAGAAAATTGTTTGAAACTACTGACGCATTATTGAAATGGCAACGGCAGTAGGTTTGCTATGAATTGCAAAATACACAGTTAAACAGAAAGAGTTAGCGATACTTGAGGAGAAAACAGACTTTTAAGTCGCAAACCAATCCAATGTACTTCCTGCACTCACACACACATTTTTTCATTGATAAACTACAATTGGTCACGCGCGACCCAAAGAGTGTGAGGAGATGAAGAGAAAAAACTCTTAACCCGGCAAAAACTTGTGGTCCGCTTAAAACAAAGACACAGTAGCCTAGTTACTTAATAGATCATCCGGTCCTTAATATGTGCCAAAGTTTAATCGCAAATGATCGGAATAATTACGTATCATGACGTGACAGTTCGATGAGTAATAATAATAATGTTGCAAAAAGCAAAATGTGTCTTAAACTTCAATCAAATGAAGATGTATTCAAAAACCAAACACTATCCTTTACTAACTTTAAGGCAGCTAATGCGGTTTATTTTCGGCGATGATTGAAATGACGCACCATATTCGTCACGTTTTTACTTTCTGGCAATGATTTGTATTTGTACACGCGTATTCAATTACCGTCGAATACGATGTAAGAAGTAAATATTCTGAAAAATACTCGACCGTCGATAAAGTGGGAAGTGAAAACCTTTTAGCGAAGAAATCCTGCTTCGTGTACAATTAAGCGCCTCCTCATTTCTTATCTAATCTCCAAGCAAGCGAGAGTTGCTGCTTTTACGAGCGTTTTTGTTACTTCAAATCATGCTGTCATATGTGTCAAAGTTTAATAAGTTTCCCATGATTAGAATGTTCAAAATATCCCTTGTAGTCCTAACCTTATGAGACCAGCATGACGTGGCAATTCGATAAGTGATCATGTTGCAAAAAAGCAATAAAAGCCTTTAACTACAATCAACTTGGAAACTACTGATTCCATGTTATTGAAAGCCTGTTAAAAGCAATATATATATAATACTATGCTTTTATAAATTTAGTAACTAAAACTCGATAGTTCGTGGTAATTAATTCATCAGAGGCTGCTAAACAAAGCCTAAGTCATACTACTACCAGTT